GGGCTTCCTCCCCATCAATAGCTCGGCAGCCAAGAGGAGGGGAAGGGCAGCGGCAAGGGCAACAGAAGCGCTCCCAAACCAGTCCGGCCAGTCGGGAGGAACATGCCACCTCCACCTATTTTTGGGCCCTGGCTCGACAGGCCCGGCCAGCCCTGCCTTGCATAACTTTAGTCGGACCCACTCGCGTTTCTCGCCGTTCCTCGGCGTGTTTGACCTGTCCCGATTCGGGATTTTGAACCACTTCCGATTCGCGATTTATAGCCAGGCCGGGATTTGAACCCTGGTCTCGGACCACACGTTGGAACGACTTACGATGGCCTTTGCCCAGGGGTGTGCTAAAAGAACCCTACGGACTTCCTCTTCCTTCTTGGGATGATCTAGATGACCTCTAGGGCTCCCTTTCTTCTCTGTTGGATTCTATGGACTCCCATTGAAAGATAAGAGCCTTCTTGGTATGGTCTAGATGACCTCTAGGGTCCCCTTCCCCTTTCCTCTGGATTCTATGGACTCCCGTTGAAGGATAAGAGGCTCTTCTTTCTTGGTATGGTCTAGATGACCTCTAGGTACAGTCTAAATGACCTCTAAGGGTCCTCTTCCCCTATCTATTGGATTCTATGGACTCCCATTTAAGGGTAAGAGACCCTTCTTGGTATGGTCTAGATGACCTCTAGGTATGGTCTAGATGACCTCTAGGTATGGTCTAGATGACCTCTAGGTATGGTCTAGGTGACCTCTAAGGGTCCCCTTTCCCCCCTCTATTGGATTCTATGGACTCCCATTGAAGGGTAAGAGACTCTTCTTGGTATGGTCTAGATGACCTCTAGGCATGGTCTAGATAACCTCTAGGTATGGTCTAGAGGACCTCTAGGGTCCCCTTTCCTCTCTATCGGATTCTATGGACTCCCATTGAGGGGTAAGAGACCCTTCTTGGTATGGTCTAGATGACATCTAAGGGTCCCCTTTCCTCTCTGCTGGATTCTATGGACTCCTGTTGAAAGATAAGAGACCCTTCCTTCTTGGGATGGTCTAGATGACCTCCAGGGACCCCTTTCCTCTCTATTGGATTCTATGGACTCCCATTGTAGGGTAAGAGACCCTTCTTGGGATGGTCTAGATGACCTCTAGGTATGGTCCAGATGACCTCTAGGTATGGTCTAGATGACCTCCAGGGACCCCTTCCTCTCTATTGGATTCTATGGACTCCCATTGAAGGGTAAGAGACTCTTCTTGGTATGGTCTAGATGACCTCTAGGTATGGTCTAGATGGCCTCTAGGTATGGTCTAGATGACCTCTAGGTATGGTGTAGATGACCTCGAAGGGTCCCCTTTCCCTCCTCTATTGGATTCTATGGACTCCCGTTGAAGGATAAGAGGCTCTTCTTTCTTGGTATGGTCTAGATGACCTCTAGAGACCCCTTTCTTCTCTATTGGATTCTATGGACTCCCATTGAAAGATAAGAGCCTTCTTGGTATGGTCTAGATGACCTCTAGGGTCCCCTTCCCCTTTCCTCTGGATTCTATGGACTCCCGTTGAAGGATAAGAGGCTCTTCCTTCTTGGGATGGTCTAGATGACCTCTAGGTATGGTCTAGATGACCTTCTTGGGATGGTCTAGATGACCTCCAGGGGGCCCCTTTCCTCTCTATTGGATTCTATGCACTCCCATTGAAGGGTAAGAGACCCTTCTTGGTATGGTCTAGATAACCTCTAGGTATGGTCTAGATAACCTCTAGGTATGGTCTAGATGACCTCTAAGGGTCCCCTTTTCTCTCTGCTAGATTCTATGGACTCCCGTTGAAAGATAAGAGACTCTTCCTTCTTGGGATGGTCTAGATGACCTCTAGGTATGGTCTAGATGACCTCTAAGGGTCCCCTTTCCCCCCTCTATTGGATTCTATGGACTCCCGTTGAAGGATAAGAGGCTCTTCCTTCTTGGCATGGTCTAGATGACCTCCAGGAACCGCCTTTCCTCTCTATTGGATTCTATGGATTCCCGTTGAAGGATAAGAGACTCTTCCTTCTTGGGATGGTTTAGATGACCTCCAGGGACCCCTTTCCTCTCTATTGGATTCTATGGATTCCCGTTGAAGGATAAGAGACTCTTCCTTCTTGGGATGGTTTAGATGACCTCCAGGGACCCCTTTCCTCTCTATTGGATTCTATGGATTCCCGTTGAAGGATAAGAGACTCTTCCAAGAACTAGAGAAGTGGTTCTCAACCTGGGGTTCCCCAGGTGTTTTGGCCTACAACTCCCAGAAATCCTAGCCAGTTTACCAACTGTTAGGATTTCTGGGAGTTGGAGGCCAAAAACATCTGGGGACCCCAGGTTGAGAACCACTGGTCTAGAGGACCTCCAGGGACCCCTTTCCTCTCTATTGGATTCTATGGATTCCCGTTGAAGGATAAGAGACTCTTCCTTCTTGGGATGGTCTAGATGACCTCTAGGGTCCCCTTTCCTCTCTATTGGATTCTATGGATTCCCGTTGAAGGATAAGAGACTCTTCCTTCTTGGGATGGTCTAGAGGACCTCCAGGGACCCCTTTCCTCTCTATTGGATTCTATGGATTCCCGTTGAAGGATAAGAGACTCTTCCTTCTTGGGATGGTTTAGATGACCTCTAGGGTCCCCTTTCCTCTCTATTGGATTCTATGGATTCCCGTTGAAGGATAAGAAGCCCTTCCTTCTTGGGATGGTCTAGATAACCTCCAGGGGACCCCTTTCCCCTCTCAATTGGGATGGTCTAGATGACCTCCAGGAACCCATTTTCTCCCTCTATCGGATTCTGTGGACTCCTCTTGAAGCATAAGAGGCTCTTCTCTCTTTGGATGGTCTAGAGGACCTCCAGGGACCCCTTTCCAACCCTCTATCGGATTCTGTGGACTCCCATTGACGAGTAAGAGGCTCTTCTCTCTTTGGATGGTCTAGATAACCTCCAGGGAACCCCTTTCCCCTCTCAATTGGATTCTCTCTTTGAAGGAGAAAACACTCTTTCTTCTTGAGATGGTCTAGATGACCTCCAGGGACCCATTTCCTCTCTACTGGATTCTATGGACTTCCATTGATGGATATGAGGCTCTTCCTTGTTGGGATGGCCTAGATGATCTCCAGGGACCCTTTCCCCCCTCTATCGGATTCTGTGGACTCCCATTGAAGCATAAGAGGCTCTTCTCTCTTTGGATGGTCTAGATAACCTCCAGGGAACCCCTTTCCCCTCTCAATTGGATTCTCTCTTTGAAGGAGAAAACGCTCTTCCTTCCTGGGATGGTTTAGATGGCTTCCAGGGGCCCCATTTCTCCTCTTTGAAGAATAGGCTCTTCCTTCTTAGGATAGTCTAGATGACCTCCAGGAGACCCCTTCCCCTCTCTATTGGATTCCATGGGCTCTTGTGGAAGAATAAGAGGCTCTTCCTTGTTGGAATGATGACCTCTAGGGGCCCCTTTCCTCTCTTGGATTCTATGGACTCCCATTGAAGGGTAAGATACCCTTCTTGATATGGTCTAGATGACCTCTAGGGGCCCCTTTCCCCCTCTCTATTCGATTCAGTGGACACCCTTTGAAGGATAAGAGGTTCTTTCTTCTCGGTATGGTCTAGATGACCGCTAGAGGGCCCCTTTCCCCTCTCTATTGGGATCTTCCTTTGAAGGATACGAGGTTCGTCTTTCTTGAGATGGTCTAGATGACCTCCAGGGGCCCCCTTTCCCCCCTCTACTGGATTCTATGGACTCCCTTTGAAAGATAAGAAGACCAAATAAATGAATGGAAGAAGAAACGGTCAGAAAGAAAACAGAGTAAAGCAATGGCAGAGAGAAGACAGGAGTGAATAAATGATAGAAAAGACAGTAAAGGAAAGAAAAGAATAAATGATACAAGAGAGTAAAGAGTCAGAAAGAAGACCAAGTAAACTTTCAGAAAGACCGAGTAAAATTTCAGAAAGAAGACTGAGTAAACTCAGAAAGGAGACTGAGTAAACTTTCAGAAAGAAAACTGAGTAAACTTTCAGAAAGAAGACCAAGTAACCTTTCAGAAACACCGAGTAAAATTTCAGAAAGAAGACTGAGTAAACTCAGAAAGGAGACGGAATAAACTTTCAGAAAGAAAACTGAGTAAACTCTCAGAAAGAAGACTGAGTAAACTTTCAGAAAGACCGAGTAAAATTTCAGAAAGACTGAGTAAACTCAGAAAGGAGACTGAGTAAACTCTCAGAAAGAAGACCAAGTAAACTCTCAGAAAGACCGAGTAAAATTTCAGAAAGAAGACTGAGTAAACTCAGAAAGGAGACTGAGTAAACTTTCAGAAAGAAAACTGAGTAAACTTTCAGAAAGAGGACCGAGTAAACAGTCAGAAAGAAGACTGAGTAAACTGTCAGAAAGAAGGCCGAGTAAACTTTCAGAAAGAAGACCAAGTAAACTTTCAGAAAGACCCGAGTAAAATTTCAGAAAGAAGACTGAGTAAACTCAGAAAGGAGACTGAGTAAACTTTCAGAAAGAAAACTGAGTAAACTCTCAGAAAGAAGACCGAGTAAACTCTCAGAAAGACCGAGTAAACTTTCAGAAAGAAGACCAAGTAAACAGTCAGAAAGACGACCGAGTAAACTCTCAGAAAGAAGACCGAGTAAACTTCCAGAAAGAAGACCGAGTAAACAGTCAGAAAGACGACCGAGTAAACTTTCAGAAAGAAGACTGAGTAAACTCTCAGAAAGACCGAGTAAACTTTCAGAAAGAAGACCAAGTAAACTTTCAGAAAGACCCGAGTAAAATTTCAGAAAGAAGACTGAGTAAACTCAGAAAGGAGACTGAGTAAACTTTCAGAAAGAAAACTGAGTAAACTCTCAGAAAGAAGACCGAGTAAACTCTCAGAAAGACCGAGTAAACTTTCAGAAAGAAGACCAAGTAAACAGTCAGAAAGACGACCGAGTAAACTCTCAGAAAGAAGACCGAGTAAACTTCCAGAAAGAAGACCGAGTAAACAGTCAGAAAGACGACCGAGTAAACTTTCAGAAAGAAAACCAAGTAAACAGTCAGAAAGAAGACCAAATAAACTTTCAGAAAGAAGACCGAGTAAACTTTCAGAAAGACAGAGTAAACAGTCAGAGAGAAGACCGAGTAAACTTTCAGAAATAAGACTGAGTAAACTTTCAGAAAGAAGACCGAGTAAACAGTCAGAAAGAAGACCAAGTAAACTTTCAGAAAGACAGAGTAAACAGTCAAAGAGTAGACCGAGTAAACTTTCAGAGAGAAGACCAAGTAAACTTTCAGAAAGAAGACTGAGTAAACTTTCAGAAAGAAAACTGAGTAAACAGTAAGAAAGAAGATAAAATAAACTTTCAGAAAGAAGACTGAGTAAACAGTCAGAGAGAAGACTGAGTAAACAGTCAGAGAGAAGACCGGGTAAACTTTCAGAAAGAAGACCGAGTAAACAGTCAGAAAGACGACTGAGTAAACTTTCAGAAAGAAAACTGAGTAAACAGTCAGCAAGAAGATCAAATAAACTTTCAGAAAGATGACTGGGTAAACTTTCAGTAAGAAGACTGAGTAAAAAGTCAGAAAGAAGACCAAGTAAACTTTCAGAAAGAAAACTGAGTAAACTTTCAGAAAGAGGACCGAGTAAACAGTCAGAAAGAAGACTGAGTAAACTGTCAGAAAGAAGGCCGAGTAAACTTTCAGAAAGAAGACCGAATAAACTTTCAGAAAGACGACCGAGCAAACAGTCAGAAAGAAGACCGAGTAAACTTTCAGAAAGACCGAGTAAACTTTTAGAAAGAAAACTGAGTAAACAGTCAGAAAGAAGACTGAGTAAACTTTCAGAAAGACCGAGTAAACTTTCAGAAAGAAAACTGAGTAAACAGTCAGAAAGAAGACCAAGTAAACTTTCAGAAAGAAGACCAAGTAAACTTTCAGAAAGACAGAGTAAACAGTCAAAGAGAAGACCAAGTAAACTTTCAGAGAGAAGACCGAGTAAACTTTCAGAAAGAAGACTGAGTAAACTGTCAGAAAGAAGACCGAGTAAACTTTCAGAAAGAAGACTGAGTAAACAGTCAGAGAGAAGACCGAGTAAACAGTCAGAGAGAAGACCGGGTAAACTTTCAGAAAGAAGACCGAGTAAACAGTCAGAGGGAAGACTGAGTAAAGTCAGAAAGAAGATAGAGTAAACAGTCAGAAAGACAGAGTAAACTCTCAGAAAACAAGAGTGCAGAAAAGACAGAGTAAATTGCCCAAACAGGACAGAATGAGTAACTGAAAAACTGTCAGAGAAAGCAGAGGGAATGATTCTGGATGTTTTCTCCACATTGCCGCATCCCAGCCTCCTTAGCGTCACCCTCCTTCCCGTTAGAGGGGGCCTCCGCTGGCTAGGAAATCAAGACAAGGGGGGGCTCATAGCACACTCGGGTTTTTTATTCATGCCTGACGACCGTCACAATCTCTCTCCTCTCGGGGTTTCTACTACTGGCGGAGGGCGCGGAAAACGCCCCCGCCACATTGAGGTCCATGTTTGGGGGAGCGTTTGGGGCCGCCCCCGGGAGCGGCATCACTTGAAGATCTTGCCCTGGTTGACGGACTTGCCCACGTGCTTGAACTCCCCTTCCCACAGGAAGTACTCCTTCACCAGCGTCTTGCACTCGGCGCTGTCCGGGTCCAGCTTCCTCCAAGTGTAGGATTCGTAGTCCACCTGCCAGTCGGGGCTCAGCTGCAGGAGATACACACAGACAGAGGACCCAAGGGTTACAAGGGGAGGACGCCACATCCCTTATCCCAGATGGATGGAAGTTCATGCTATCAGTAGCAGCGGTAGACACTCTGGCTTTACGGGGTACTGGATGGTCCTCTAATAGCAACTCTTTAGATCAGTGGTTCTCAACCTTCCTAATGCCGTGACCCCTTAATACAGTTCCTCATGTTGTGGTGACCCCCCCAAAATAGAATTATTTTTGTTGCTACTTCATAACTGCAATTTTGCTACTGTTATGAATTGTAATGTAAATATCTGATACGCAGGATATATTTTCATTCACTGGACCAAATTTGGCATAAATACCCAATATGTCCAAATTTGGATACTGGTGGAGTTGGGGGATTGGTTTTGTCATTTGAGAGTTTTAGTTGCTGGGATTTATAGTTCGCCTACAATCAAATTGCATTCTGAACTCCACCAACAATGGAATTGAACTGATCTTGGTACACGAAACTCCCATGACTAACAGAAAATTCTGAAAGGGTTTGGTGGGCATTGACCTTGACTTTGGGAGTTGTAGTTCACCTACATCCAGAGAGCACTGTGGACTCAAACAATGATGGATCTGGACTAAACTCTAGACGAATACCTAATATGCCAAACTAAGAACACTAGTGGAGTTTGGGGAAAATAGACCTTCACATTTGGGAGTTGTAGTTGCTGGGATTTATAGTTCACGTACAATCAGAGAGCATTCTGAACGCTACCAATGACAGAATTGGGCCAAACCTCCCACACAAAACCCCCATGAGCACAAATCCTCAATATGCCCAAATGTGAACCCTGACCGAGTTTGGGGAAAATAGACCTTGACATTTGAGAGTTGGAGTTGCTGGGATTTATAGTTCACCTACAATCACAGAGCATTCTGAACGCTACCAATGACAGAATTGGGCCAAACTTCCCATAAGAGAACCCCTATGACCAAAAGAAAATACTATGTTTTCTGATGGTCTTCAGTGACCCCTCTGAAACCCCCTCATGACCCCCCACAGGGGTCCTGACCCCCAGGTTGAGAAACACTGCCTTATCCCAACTAAACATGGCTCCCCAAGCCAAAACCGGACATATTTTGTTGATATGGGATCACCAGGTAGCAGTATACCAAGGGGAAAGCCCTTGAAGCCAGCGTTCTGCATTGTTATTGTTAATACTACTGTATTATATTAGTATTGCCATATTATATTATTAATATTACATTATTTATTTACAATATTTATATGCCGCCCTTCTCGGGGACTCAGAGCGGCTTACAAGATATATATATACATACAATACATTATATTATTAGCATGGTACAATATCAGTATTATATATTACTATATTGTACTATACCATTATATTTTAATATTAGTAATATTAAGTTTCGGAAAACAAGAGTGCAGGAATGATAGAAAAGAAAGAGTAAATTGCCAAGACTCGGGGACTCAGAGCGGCTTACAAGATATATATACATACAATATATTATATGATTAGCATAGTACAATATCAGTATTAAATATTACTGTATTGTACTATACCATTATATTTTAATATTAGTAATATAAAATTTCAGAAAACAAGAGTGCAGGAATGATAGAAAAGACAGAGTAAATCGCCAAGACTTGGGGACTCAGAGCGGCTTACAAGATATATATACACACAATATATTATATTATTAGCATAGTACACTATCAGTATTAACTATTACTATATTGTGCTATACCATTATATTTTAATATTACTAATATTACATGGAATATAAATATATCATTATTTATTTGTCGTGTCAGGGCAACCAGTCAATTATATTACATTTCTAACAGAACAAAGCAAACAAAATAATATATATCATTATTAAAATAAGTAATGCAATATAATACTACTAATAATAATAATATATTATAATGATATAATATATCATTATAATATAGTAATAGTATTATATTGCATTACTTATTTTAATATATATTATTACTATAATAATATAAATATTATATTAGTTTTATAATATAATATAATAATATAATTAGTATTCTATTATAATAATTATCATATTATTGGTATTATATTGCCCCCAGTGGCATTATTATTATTATTATTATTATTATTTTACCGACACAAAAACACAGTATGTCACAGCACACGAAATCTATATGCTGGACTTCGTATCACAAAATCACAAGTCGAACACTTCCCAAGTGTCTAGGACTGTGTGATGTATTTATTATTACTATTATTATTATTATTATTATTATTATTCTGACACAAAATCACAGTATTTCACAGGAAATGAGATCTATATGCTGGATTTCGTATCACAAAATCACAAGTCGAACCCTTCCCAAGGGTCTAGGACTGTGTGATGTATTATTATTATTATTATTATTATTATTATTATTATTATTATTATTATTTTACCAACACAAAACCACAGTATGTCACAGCAAACGAGATCTATATGCTGGATTTCGTATCACAAAATCACAAGTTGAACCCTTCCCAAGGGTCTAGGATTGTGTGATGTATATTATTATTGTTGTTATTATTATTATTATTATTATTATTATTATTATTATTCTGACACAAAATCACAGTATTTCACAGGAAATGAGATCTATATGCTGGATTTCGTATCACAAAATCACAAGTCGAACCCTTCCCAAGGGTCTAGGACTGTGTGATGTATTATTATTATTATTATTATTATTATTTTACCAACACAAAACCACAGTATGTCACAGCAAACAAGATCTATATGCTGGATTTCGTATCACAAAATCACAAGCTGAACCCTTCCCAAGGGTCTAGGATTGTGTGATGTATATTATTATTATTATTATTATTATCATTCTGACACAAAATCACAGTATTTCACAGGAAATGAGATCTATATGCTGGATTTCGTATCAAAAAATCACAAGTTGAACCATTCCCAAGCATCTAGGATGTATTTTCGAATGATGCGCGCAGATCCAAGTCAGGTGGCTTTTTGCAGTTGACAATAACAATAATAATAATAAAAATTATTATTATTATGTATTGTCGAAGGCTTTCATGGCTGGAATCACTCAGTTCTTGTGGGTTTTTTCGGGCTATATAATATAGCCCGAAAAAAACCCACAAGAACTGAGTATTATTATTATTATTATTATTTCCAACCCTCCAGCCATGTCAGCTTACCAAGTACCATTATGCCAAGGTGAAAGCCCTTGCAGTTAAGGTCTGCACTATTATTATTATTAATTACCGTATATTGTTACCTTATAATATTTTTAATATTACTGTATTGCCATATTTTTAATGCTCATGTATTGTTTATGTTATATACTGCTCTGCAATCTCTTGGAAGCTGCCTTGAATCCCTTTCGGGAGAGAGTGGCGGGATATAAATAAAGTTATTATTATTATTATTATTATTATTGGTACAATATTTTTACTCGAGGGTTTGTCGTACGACTGTATGCGCTACCGTCGCATTTATCGTTCCCTGGACTGGAAAGCAATGGCAAAAATATTCCAGAGCCTGGGAAAGACTCACCGGGAAAGCCAGCTCCTGCCCGCGGAAGACCCACACGCCCGAAATGCTGCTGTCGTTGTTGGCGCCGAAGAGGATGACGGAGGCAAAGGCGTTCTTGCGCAGCTTGTCCAGGCGCTGGAACATGCCTGGCGGGGGGGAGTAAAGAGATGTTATTTATTTATTTACTGCATTTATTGACCGCCGCTCTCAGCCCTAGGGCGACTCGCGGCGGTGCACAACATATAAAAACAGTTTACAAAAAGGGCAAAACAGGGAATCAATACAACAATCATACACTATAATCTAGTTACACTAAATAATCCGCTCCGTCACATCATAGAATCATAACCAATATCGTAATCCGTATTCCGTTCCAGTTGTCAATTACCAGTTGCCGTAGCGCTCAGTTGAATGCCTTCTCAAATAGCCAGGTCTTCAGGCTCTTACGGAAGGACAGAAGGGAAGGCGCCTGTCTGATGTCAGCAGGGAGGTGTTCCACAGCCGGGGGGCCACCACCGAGAAGGCCCTTTCTCTCGTCCCCGCCAGACGTGCCTGTGAAGCAGGCGGGATCGAGAGAAGGGCCTCCCCAGACGATCTCAAGGCCCTCGTGGGCTCATAGGCCAAGATGCGGTCCGAAAGGTATTTTGGGCCGGAACCGTTTAGGGCTTTGTAGGCCAACACCAGCACCTTAAATTGGGCCCGGTAGCAAATCGGCAGCCAGTGGAGCTGGGACAGCAAGGGCGTTGTGTGCTCCCTGCGTCCCGCTCCTGTTAGTAACATGGCTGCCGCGCGCTGGACTAGCTGAAGTTTCCGGGCCGTCTTCAAGGGCAGCCCCACGTAGAGAGCGTTGCAGTAGTCAAGGCGGGATGTGACCAGAGCGTGTACCACCATGGCCAAGTCAGACTTTAAATCAACCTCTCCTGTTTTCCCCTCAGAGAAAGCCCTTGTTAATACAACAGTATTTTTAATGGTGGAGTAAAAAAGCCTTGTGGTAATACTAAACAGCCTATTAACAGACTAATAGCTAGAGGGTTCGTGATTTCTTTAGTTTGGTGGCAGCGAAAGTTTTACACAACGTGACATCCCCTCAAACCCTACAAAAGCCTCTTTTTGAGTTATTATAATTGGTAGTGAAGAGAGGTGGGATATTGATTTATCACCCATACCTCTAAAGACTCCTTTATAATTGGTGGGGCAGCGGTGGGATTGTTTGGCCCTGCCCAGACGGCCAATTAAAGAAAGATTCCTTTATAATTATCAAGGACTTCCTTAATTGGCCGTCTGGGCAGGGCCAAACAATCCCACCGCTGCCACCAATTATCAGGAATCTTCCTTTAATTGACCGTCTGGGCAGGGGTAAACAATCCCACCGCTGCCCCACCAATTATCAGGATCTTTAGAGGTATGGGTGATAAATCAATATCCCACCTCTCTTCACTACCAATTATAATAACTCAAAAAGAGGCTTTTGTAGGGTTTGAGGGGATGTCACGTTGTGTAAAACTTTCGCTGCCACCAAACTAAAGAAATCACGAACCCTCTAGCTATTAGTCTGTTAATAGGCTGTTTAGTATTACCACAAGGCTTTACTCCACCAATGGCTGTATATAATCAAGGGCTTTCTCTGAGGGGAAAACAGGAGAGGTTGATTTAAAAAGAAAGGGACTCAAAACCAAAAATAGCACTTGACTCAGGCTTTAAGTTTAAAAATAATAAGAAAGAGTTTATTGATTACAATTACTGAATAACACGAGAATGCAGGTACTGAGGCTTGATGGTTACAGAATAAAAGTGTTCTTGTTTCTTATAAGCGTATTGGTTTCTAGAGAGAATGTTCTTTCTTAGTTACAGTTTCAATGTTACTCCGAGCCTTGACCAACTTGGGCTCTCCGGGCGTTTTGGACTTCGACTCCCACAATTCCTAACAGCCTACCGGCTGTTAGGGATTGTGGGAGTCAAAGTCCAAAACGCCCGGAGAGCCCAAGTTGGTCCATGCCTGGTCTCGAACGAGGGAGGAACTGAGGCAGTAGCCCCACCATTGGCTATATACACTATGGGGAGAGTGGGCGGGGCTAACGCCTAAGATTCGCAGTTGACCACGATGGGGAAACCGAGGCGCAACTCACCGGTGATCAGGTTGCAGCTCATGAAGGTCTGGGCCAGCTCCTCGGGGAAGCGGTACTCGGCGTACCAGATGGACCAGCCCTCCTTGTCAAAGTGCTCCCAGAAGTGGGGCAGGGCCACCGTCAGGGTGTCCTCGTTGGAGTACTTGCGCTTGAACTCGTCCATGACGAAGGGACTGCAGGGAGAGAGCGCACCAAGGGGCAAAGCATCACACGGGGAACTCTCCGATGCAGCGGGATGCATTTCCCCACCTGTGCACCCACATTTCGGGTGCAACGCTCCAAATCGTGGAGTTGGGAGGCATTCCGAGGGCCGTCCCACCCAACCCCATTCCTGCCAGGGGGGACGACCCCATTGAAGCCCTCCCAATAGATGGCCATCCAGCCTCTGCTTAGAAACCACCATCAACATAGATTATTATTATCATTATTATTCAATCATACAGATGGACGAATCCCCAAGGGCCATCAGACCAACACAGTTTCTGCCAGGAGGGACGACCCCATCAAAGCACTCCTGACAGATGGCCATCCAGCCTCTGCTTAACAAGCATCATCAACATAATTATTATCATTATTATTCATAAAGATGGATGAGACTCCAAGGGCCATCCAGACCAACCCCATTTCTGCCAGGTGGGATGACCCCATCGAAGCCCTCCCGACAGCTGGCCATCCAGCCTCTGCTTAGAAACCATCTATGTCCATCTCTGATTTAATAATAATGATGATAATAATAATTTATTATTATCATCATTATTATTCAATCATACAGATGGACGAGACCCCAAGGGCCATCCAGACCAACCCCATTTCTGCCAGGTGGGAAGACCCTATCGAAGCCCTCCCGACAGATGGCCATCCAGCCTCTGCTTAGAAACAACCATCAACATAGATTATTATTTTCATTATTTTCAAATCATAGAGATGGACGAGACCCCAAGGGCCATCCCACCCAACCCCGTTTCTGCCAGGTGAGACGACCCCATCGAAGCCCTCCCGACAGATGGCCATCCAGCCTCTGCTTAGAAACCACCATCTGCATAGATTATTATTATCATTATTATTCAATCATACAGATGGACGAGACCCAAAGGGCCATCTAGCCCAATCCCTTTTCTGCCAGGTAGGAAGCCCCCATCGAAACCCTCCTGACAGATGGCCATCTAGCCTCTGCTTAGAAACCACCATCATAATAGAATATTATTATCATTATTATCCAATCATACAGATGGACGAGACCCCAAGGGCCATCCCGCCCAACCTCATTTCTGCCAGATGGGATGACCCCATCAAAGCCCTCCTGACAGATGGCCAACCGGCCTCTGCTTTGAAACTGCCGGGGAAGCAGACACCATCTTCATACACTATTATTGAGTCATCAGAGTTGGAAGAAAGAGAAAGAGAGAGAAGGAAAGAAGGAAAGAAAGGAAGGTAGAGAAGGAGACAAGGAAATTAAAAAGTGAAAGAAGGAAGGAAAGTGAGAGGGAAGGAAGGAGAAAAGGAAGAAAGAGAAAGAGAGGGAGGGAAAGAAGGTAGAGAAGAAAGGAAGGAGAGAAGGAAGTAAAAAAGTGAAAGAAGGAAGGAAAGAGAGGGAAGGAAGGAGAGAAGGAATGAAAGAGAAAAAGAGGGAGGGAAAGAAAGAAAGGTAAAGAAGAAAGAAGAGAAGGAAATAAAAAAATGAAAGAAGGAAGGAAAGAGAGGGAAGGAAGGAAAGAAGAGAGAAAGAGGGAAGGAAGGAAAGAAAGAAAAGTAGAGAAGGAGAGAAGGAAATAAAAAAGTGAAAGAAGGAAAGGAAAGAGAGAGAGAAGGAAGGAGAGAAGGAAGAAAGAGAAAGAGAGGGAGGGAGAGAAGGTAGAGAAGAAAGGAAGGAGAGAAGGAAGTAAAAAAGTGAAAGAAGGAAAGGAAAGAGAGAGAAGGAAGAAAGAGGAAAAAAGCAAGGGAAAGAAAGTAGAGAAGAAAGGAAGGAGAGAAGGAAGTAAAAAAAGAAAGAAGAAGGGAAGGAAAGAGAGAGAGAAGGAAGGAGAGAAGGAAGAAAGAGAAAGAGAGGGAGGGAGAGAAGGTAGAGAAGAAAGGAAGGAGAGAAGGAAGTAAAAAAGTGAAAGAAGGAAAGGAAAGAGAGAGAAGGAAGAAAGAGGAAAAAAGCAAGGGAAAGAAAGTAGAGAAGAAAGGAAGGAGAGAAGGAAGTAAAAAAAGAAAGAAGAAGGGAAGGAAAGAGAGAGAGAAGGAAGGAGAGAAGGAAGAAAGAGGGAAAGAGGGAGGGAAAGAAGGTAGAGAAGAAAGGAAGGAGAGAAGGAAGTAAAAAACTGAAAGACAGAAAGGAAAGAGAGAGAAGGAAGGAGAGAAGGAAGAAAGAGGGAGGGAAAGAAGGTAGAGAAGAAAGGAAGGAGAGAAGGAAATAAAAAAGTGAAAGAAGGAAAGGAAAGAGAGAGAGAAGGAAGAAGGAAGAAAGAGGGAAAAGGGGAGGGAAAGAAGGTAGAGAAGGAAGGAGAGAAGGAAGTAAAAAAGTGAAAGAAGGAAGGAAAGAGAGAGAGAAGGGAGGAGAGAAGGAAGAAAGAGAGAAAAAGGGAGGGAAGGAAAAAGGGGAAAGAGGAGGAAGGGAGGGAGGGGGAAAGAATGGGAAAGGGGAGGAGAAAGGAAAAGGGGAGGAGGAAGGGAAAAAAAGGGAAGAAGGGGAAAAGAAGGGGGAAAGGGGAAGGAGAGGGGAGGAGGAGGAAGGGAGAAAAAAGAGAGAGGAGAAAGGGGGAAGGGGGAGAGGAAGGAAGGAAAAAGGGAAGGAGAAAGGAGGGAAAGAGAAAAAAAGAAAAGGAGAAGGGAAGGAGAAGGAAGAGAAAAAGAGAGAGGGGAGGAAGGAAGGGAGGTGGAGAGAACGGAAGGAAGAAAAGAGAAGAGAAGAAAGAGGAAGGGAAGGGGGGAAAAGAAGAGAGGAAAAGAAGGAAGAAGAAAAAGAAAAAGGGAGGAAGAGGAAGGAAAGAAGGAAGGAGGAAAAGGGAAGGAAGAAGGGGAGAAAAGGAAGGAAGGAGAAAAGGGAAGAGGGAGGAAGGGGGGGAAAGGGAAGAGGAAAGAAGGAGGGGAAAGAAAGGAGGGAGAGAGGAAGGGAAGAAGGAGGGGGGAAGAAAGAAAGGAGAAGGGTGGAAGAAAGGGAAAGAGAAAGGAAGGGAAGGAAAGAGGAAAAAGGAAGGGAAAAAAAAGGAAAAAAGGAAAGAGGGGAGGAAGGAAAAGGGGAGGAGAGGGGGAAGGAGGAAGGAAAAGGAAAAGGGGAGGAAGGAAAGAAAGAAGAGGAAGAGAGAAGAAAGGAAGGAGAGAAGGAAATAAAAAAGTGAAAGGAAAGAGAGAGGGAAGGAAGGAGAGAAGGAATGAAAGAGAAAAAGAGGGAGGGAAGGAAGGAAGGATGGAACCAAATAGCAAAGGAAGAGAAGGAAGAAAGAAGGGAAAGAAAAAGAGGGAAGGAAGGAGAGAAAGAAAAGAGAGAAAGAGGGAGGGAGGGTTGGCCACAGCAACACATGGCGGGTACAGCTAGTAATAATAATAAGTGGATAATAATGATTTTCTGGAGGCTTTTGGCCATCTGTTGGGAGGGCTTTGATTGCATCACGGGGGCAATAATGGTGCGGCCCCCAAAGTTGATAGGGACAAGAGTCGCTCCCTTTGGCCCCAGCCGAAGAGGAATGTGGGCTCGGCCTCAGACTGGAAGGCAGCACAAAAGGCACGTGGCAGGGCGGAGGTGGCCCAACAAACACAGCATTCGGCTGCCTCCTAGCGGCCGCTCCTGTGTAAACATTGTGTAATTCCTAGTGTTACACAAACCTAATCTCAGAATCATAATCGGAAGAGACCCCAAAGGCCATCCAGTCCACCCCCCAACTCGCCAGTCAGGAAGACACAATCAAAGAACTCCCAATAACGTCACTTATATTACTCTTTCCTTCCTTTTTCTTTTCCTTCCCTTTCTCTCCTTCCTTTGCTTTTTGCTTCCATCCTTCCTTCTGTCTTTCCTTCCCTCCCTCTTTCTCTCCTTCCTTCTTTCCCTACCTCTTTCCTTCTCCCCTTCTTTCCTTCTCTCTCTTTCTTCTTCCCTTTACTTTCTCTTTCTTTCCTTCTCTACCTCCTTCCTTCGCTTTTTGCTTCCATCCTTCCCCCCCCTCTTTCTCCCTTCTCTACCTCTTTCTCTCCTTCCTTCGCTTCCTTTCCTTCATTTCCTTTTTTTCTTTCCTTCTCTACCTCTTTCTTTCCTTCCCTTTTCTTTTCCTCTTTCTCGTTCTGTCTTTCCTTCCCTCTCTTTCTCCTTTTCCTTTGCTCCCTCTTTCCTTCCCTTCCTTCCTTTTTCCTTCTCTACCTTCTTTCTATCCCTTTTCTTTTCCTCTTTCTTTCCTTCCTTTGCTTTTTGCTTCCATCCCCCTTTGTCTTTCCTTCCTTCCTTTCTTTCCCTCTTTCCTTCCCTTCCTTCCTTCCCTTCCTTTTGCTCCCTCTTCCCTTCCCTTCCTTCCTTTCTTTCTTTCCTTCTCTACCCCTTTCTCTCCATCCCTTTTCTTTTCCTCTTTTTCTCCTTTCTTCCTTCTCTACCTCTTTCCTTCCTTTCTCTTTCTTTCCTTCTTTCTTTTTCCCCTTCTTTGCTTTTTTCCCTGTATTGTCATTTAATTTTCTAGGATTTTTATGTCCTTTCCACTCTTTTTTTGGAGGGGGGGGGGTTATGAGTGATGGTCATTCGTTGGCCTGTTAGGGGTGTAGTGTCCAAATTTGGTGTCATTTTGTCCAGTGGTTTTTGAGTTATGTTAATCCCACAAATGAACATTACATTTTTATTTATATATAGATCTTACATGATTAACACATAATTATTGTTATTATTTTATATTATTTTCACATTATTAGTATTTCATTTCATTATTTTATTTTATTGCATTATCATCACATTACTTCATACTATTATTATTACACCATTATCACCTTTTTATTTATAAAGATAATATTATCAATATTATATGTATAGCCGTCCCCTGCCACGCGTTGCTGTGGCCCACTCTGGTGGTCATGAGGGTTCTGTGTGGGAGGTTTGGCCCAATTCTGTCGTTGGTGGGGTTCAGAATGCTCTCTGATTGTAGGTGAATTACAAAACCCAGCAACTACAACTCCCAAATGTCAAGATTCTATTTTCCCCAAATTCCACCACTGTTGACATTTGGGCATATTGAGTATTCGTGTCGAGTTTGGTCCAGATCCATCATTGTTTGAGTCCACAGTGATCTCTGGATGTAGGTGAACTACAATTCCAAAACCAAAGGACGCTGCCCACCAAACCCTTCCAGTATTTTCTGTTGGTCATGGGAGAACTGGGTGCCAAGTTTGGTTCAATTCCATCGTTGGTGGGGTTCAGAATGCTCTTTGATTGTAGGTGAACTACAAATCCCAGCAACTACAACTCCCAAATGTCAAGATTCTATTTTCCCCAAACTCCATCAATGTTCACATTTGGGCATATTGAGTATTCGTGTAGAGTTTGGTCCAGATCCAACATTGTTTGAGTCCACAGTGCCCTCTGGATGAAGGTGAACTACAAGTCCCAAACTCAAGGTCAATGTCCACCAAACCTTTCCAGTATTTTCTGTTAGTCATGTGAGTTCTGTGTGCCAAGTTTGGTTCAATTCCATCGTTGATAGAGTTCAGAATGCTCTTTGATTGTAGGTGAACTATAAATCCCAGCAACTACAACTCCCAAATGACAAAATCATAATTTTTTGAGTGATGGTCACTCCTTGTGTTGTGAGACGTTTTGTTGCCAAATTTGGTGCGATTTCGTTCCTTGGTTCTTTTGTTTTTAAGCTACTCATTACGCACAGAGCATTTTTATATAGAGAGATATTCCCTCCCGGACTTTGAGATCTTCCGGGGAGGCCCTGCTCTCGATCCCGCCAGCCTCTCAAGCACGGTTGGCGGGGACGAGGGATAGGGCCTTCTCGGTGGTGGCTCCTCGGCTGTGGAACGCCCTTCCTGTAGATGTTAGGCTGGCACCATCTCTCTTGACATTCCGTAGAAAGTTGAAGACCTGGATGTTTGTGCAGGCATTTGAGTAATTCAGTGCAATTCTGGTAATTTGAACATAGGAACGGAACAACGGACATCGAATTTGGATCACGCTTGGATGATGAGGCGATCGGGGGGGGTTTTTGGGAGAACTGTGTATTGATGTTTGTATTAGTTAGTAATGGAGATGTGTAGTTTAACTGTTATGGTATATTGATTGTTTTGCTGCTTGTATTGTCTTTGTTGTTTGCTGTCTGGAAACCGCTGTGAGTCGCCCTCGGACTTGAGATACAGCGGTATACAAGAATAGTAAATAAATAAATAACTAAATAAATATTCTATTATATAAGGCCCATTGAAGACCCCCAAGTGTTCCAATGAGTAAAGGGAGACCCTTACTTCCAATGTGTTTCCTTTGAAAGAGAATCAAAAGAAGAGCAGATCGAGGCCTCTTGAGGCGCCAACATAAACACTTAAAGTTAACCTTAAAAACTGTGGCATAGACACTGAGAACTGGGAGCCCTAGCTTTTAAGCACTCCAACTGGAAGTCAGCTGTGACCAGCAGTGTTGCGGAATTCAAAAAAGAATGAATTGAACACGAAAGGGAGAAACGTGCCAAGAGGAAGGCGTTTCAAACCGCCTTCCACCTGGAAAACAATGTCCTCGCTGTGGAAGAACATGCGGGTCAAGAACAGGGCCCCATAGTCACCTACGGACCCACAGACAGGACATAATACTCTGGACAATGCCTAAGTAAGTAAATCAAAGTCAGGCGGGTGCTTACCTCTTGGGCAGGTGTGCAAAGGGGTCTTTGGACTTGGGCTCGGCGGCCAAGGCCTGCTCGCACTCGTCCAGCTCTTCCTCGGGCTCCGCCTTCTTCTCCTCTTTCTTCTCGGCCTTCTTCTCCTCTTTGGGCTGCTTCTCCTTCTTGGGCGCCTCTTTCTTCGGCTGGGTTTCGGCAAACTTCTTGGCTGCGAAGGCAAAAGCCCAGGTTTTACTTACACGACATGGAGCAAAATGCAGAACAGAGTTATTTTAGGTAAAGGTTTCCCCTTGACATTAAGTCTAGTTGAGCTATTGAACCTCAGTAAACTGAAAGTCAAAACCAATTCACAACAACATCTGTTATAGAACTCCAATATGCCGATGACAACACAGTCTGTGCGCATTCAGAAGACCTACAATGTTTGTTATGGAACTCCAATATGCCAATGATAATGTAGTCTGTGCACATTCAGAAGACCTACAATGTCTGTTATGGAACGCCAATATGCCAATGATAATGTAGTCTGTGCACATTCAGAAGACCTACAATGTCTGTTATGGAACGCCAATATGCCAATGATAATGTAGTCTGTGCACATTCAGAAGACCTACAATGTCTGTTATGGAACTCCAATATGCCAATGATAATGTAGTCTGTGCGCATTCAGAAGAAGACCTACAATGTCTGTTATGGAACTCCAATATGCCGATGATAATGTAGTCTGTGCGCATTCAGAAGAAGACCTACAATGTATGTTATGGAACTCCAATATGCCAATGATAATGTAGTCTGTGCACATTCAGAAGACCTACAATGTCTGTTATGGAACTCCAATATGCCAATGATAATGTAGTCTGTGCACATTCAGAAGACCTACAATGTCTGTTATGGAACGCCAATATGCCAATGATAATGTAGTCTGTGCACATTCAGAAGACCTACAATGTCTGTTATGGAACTCCAATATGCCAATGATAATGTAGTCTGTGCACATTCAGAAGACCTACAATGTCTGTTATGGAACGCCAATATGCCAATGATAATGTAGTCTGTGCACATTCAGAAGACCTACAATGTCTGTTATGGAACTCCAATATGCCAATGATAATGTAGTCTGTGCACATTCAGAAGACCTACAATGTCTGTTATGGAACGCCAATATGCCAATGATAATGTAGTCTGTGCACATTCAGAAGACCTACAATGTCTGTTATGGAACTCCAATATGCCAATGATAACGTAGTCTGTGCACATTCAGAAGCCCTACAATGTTTGTTATGGAACGCCAATATGCCAATGATAATGTAGTCTGTGCACATTCAGAAGACCTACAATGTCTGTTATGGAACGCCAATATGCCAATGAAAGCCAAAACCAAGGTCACAACATCTGTTATATAACTCCAATATGCCGATGACAACATAGTCTGTGCGCATTCAGAAGAAGGTCTACAATATCTGTTATGGGACTCCAATATGCCAATGGTAACCTAGTAACAGACATACAATGTCTGTTATAGAACTCCAATATGCCGATGATAACATAGTCTATACAAATTCAGAAGATTTACAGTGTCTGTTATGGAACTCCAACATGTCAATGATAATGTAATCTGTGTGCATTCAGAAGACTTAGACCCGTCGCAAACTAGGTTCCTGCGGGAGAAAACCTTGCTAGCATGTCCCTGACGTCATGAGACTCCGCCTCTCGCCCCGCCCCTTTCTCTTTGCCAGCGTGGTTTTTACTTTGCTAGGGGAGCATTGCCTGCATTTTCTCTCAGTTGGCAGAATTCAACTGAGAGAAAATGCGGGCAATGCTGCCCTAGCAAAGGAAAAACCACGCTGGCAAAGAGAAAGGGGCGGAGAAAGGGGCGGGGAGAGAGGCGCAGGCTCATGACGTCAGGGACATGCTAGCAAGGTTTTCTCCCGCAGGAACCTAGTTTGCGACGGCTCTTACAATGTTTTGTTATGGAACTCCCAATATGCCGATGATAACATAGTCTATACACATTCAGAAGATTTACAGTATCTGTTATGGAACTCCAATATGCCAATGACAACACTGTCTGTGCGCATTCAGAAGACCTACAATGTCTGTTATGGAATACCATTATGCCAATGATAACGTAGTCTGTGCGCATTCAGAAGACCTACAATGTCTGTTATACAACTCCAATATGCCAATGACAACACAATCTGTGCGCATTCAGAAGAAGACCTACAATGTCTGTTACGGAACACCAATATGCTGATAACATAGTCTGTGCGCATTCACAAGAAGACCTACAATGTCTGTTATGGAACTCCAATATGCCAATAACAACAGAGTCTGTGCACTTTTCCAAGAATGGAAAACGGAATGTTGGCGGGCAGGAAAAGAGATTGAAAGATGGGCTTAAAGCCAACCTTAAAAACTGTGGCAGAGACACCGAGAACTGGGAAGCCCTGGCTGTTGAGCACTCTAGCTGGAGGTCAGCTGTGACCAGCAGTACTGTGGAATTCGGAGAGGCACGAATGGAGGGTGATAGGGAGAAATGTGCTAAGAGGAAGAAGGCGCCTCAAGCCAAGCCTGACCGGGACTGCCTTCCACCTGGAAAACAATGTCCTCACTGCAGAAGAACATGATGGTCAAGAATAGGGCTCCACAGCCACCTACGGACCCACTACCAAGACACCGCACTTGGAGGGCCATCATCCTCAGGCTATGAGGGATTGCCTAATGTGGGACTGTGAAAAGTTATAATTTTTAAAATATAAATATAAATGAACACAGATCCCGGAGGTCTTCTTCGTAGCCCTCTTACCGTCAAACTGGGCCATTTTCTCGCAGAGCTTCACTTCTCCCAGGACTGCCTTGAACTGCGGCTGGTTGATGCAGGTCACAAACCAGCGGTTCACATTCCCGTAAGACTGGCGGAAGGATGGCTCCAGAACCTGAGGACAATTGGGGGGGGGGGGGGGCATTAGGAAACGTCAGGCAAGTAAAAGTAAGCAATTTGTTTGAATTCTTCTTTGGTGATTTCTCCCCTTTTCCACTTCTTGTGCATGTCTCTTTGGAGTCTCAGCCCAGTTAGAAGTTCTTTAGACATCCATTCTGGCTTCTTTGCACTTGTCTGATTTTTTGCTCTTCGTTGGCACTGTTTGCAATTGCGCCTTGAGTAATTCCCATCCATCCATAACTCCCTTCTCTTTTAGACCTGCAATTAATGATACAGCACTGCACTTTCATCCCATCCTTTGTTCCTTGGCTACAATTTGCACTATCCCATTCCCTTGTCTGGTTTACAGTCTGGCCACGTCTTATGGCTGGGTTGCGGCCTTGCCAGAAGGCGAGACCACGGCCCAGCCGAGGGAACCTTCACGAGAGGAGAGCCTCAGCTGGGTCGCGGCCTTGCCGAGGGAGACTTCGCGCGAGGAGAGCCCTTGGCTGGGTTGCGGCCTTGCCTGAAGGCGGAACCGCAGCCCAGCCGAGTGAGCCTTCGCGCAAGGCTAGCCATCGGCTGGGTCATAGCCTTGCCGAGGGAGACTTCGCGTGAGGAGAGTCGTCAGCTGGGTTGCGGCCTTGGCGGAAGGCGGGACCGCAGCCCAGCCGAGCGAGCCTTCGCGTGACGATAACCCTCGGCTGGGTCTCGGCCTTGCCGAGGGAGATTTCACGCAAGGAGAGCCCTCGGCTGGGTTGCGATCATGCTGGAAGGCAGGACTGCAGCCCAGCTGAGGGAGACTTCGCGCGAGGAGAGCCCTCGGCTGGGTTGCGGCCTTGCCGAGGGTGACTTTGCGCAAGGAGAGCCCTTGGTTGGGTTGCGGCCTTGCCAGAAGGCGGGATCAAAGGCCAGCCAAGGGAGACTTCGCGCAAGAAGACCCCTTGGCTGGGTTGCAGCCTTGCCGAGGGAGACTTCGCAAGAGGAGAGCCCTCGGCTGGGTTGCGGCCTTGCCGGAAGGCGGGATCAAGGGCCAGCCAAGGGAGACTTCGCGCGAGAAGACCCCTTGGCTAGGTTTTTCAGATTAGGAACCCCAGTACCAAATCCCAGAAGCACTTTAGTAGAACCAAGATCACCGCACACTGCACTTATATTATAATCCCATATCCCTCCGACACATCAGCACTTTTAATCCTGTACCCCTACTCCGGCCGGCTTTGTTTTAATAATGTCTTGTTGTACTGCTATTGTTTTTCTGCTTAACTGTTTTATTTGCTATGTATTGTATTGTTGTATTGTGTTGGGCTCCGGCCTGTTGTAAGCCGCATCGAATCTCTTGGGAGATACTAGTGGGGTACAAATAAAGTTATAATAATAATAATAATAATAATAATAATAATAATAGGTTGCAGCCTTGCCGAGGGAGACTTCGCGAGAGGAGAGCACTTGGCTGGGTTGCAGCCTTGCCGGAAGGCGGGACCGAGGCCCAGCCGAGGGAGACCTCGCGCGAGGAGAGCCCTCAGCTGGCTCGCGGCCTTGCTTGAAGGCGGGACTGAGGCCCGGTTCATGCGAGGAGAGCCCTCAGCTGGGTCGCAGCATTGGGGGTGGGGCTTAAGGAGGCGGCCTCACAACCCCTCCGAAATGGCCAAACGACCCCCCTGGAGGCCGCGACCCTGAGGTTGAGAACCGCTGATATAACCCTTTGGCCTTGAGGAGACTGAGATGGCCAGTCTCAGTCCTTCTGTTGTGTATTGATAGTATAGAAACCAGCTCTTCCTCTTTTCTTACTTTCCCATTTCTCCACAATGTCTCCACAATGGGCCACGGCAACGCGTGGCCGGGTACAGCTAGTCCATAATAATTATAATAATAATAATAGCAGCAGCCACGGCCCCTCACCTGTTTGTAGAGCCAAAGGAGGGTGCAGACCACGGTGATGTCGGCCAAGGTGACCCGCTCGCCCACCAGGAACGTCCGGGTCTTGAGGTGGGAGTCCAGGAGGCTCAGGATCCGCTTCACTTCGTCCTTTGCGCTCTCTGTGGCCTGTCAAGGGAGGTGGTGAAGGGTGCGCCATTCAAAAAGGGAGGACGACAAGGACTGGCAACACTTAATCAAATGCATCAAATAACATTCAATCAAATATCTCGTTACATCTAGGATAGGCTACTGCAACGCACTCCACGTGGGGCTGCCTTTGAAGACTGCTCGGAAGCTTCGACAAGTCCAACGAGAGGCAGCCAGATTACTAATCTGGGCAGCATACAGGGAGTATACAACTCCCATGTTACGCCAGCTCCACTGGCTGCCTGTTTGCTACTGGGCACAATTCAAAGTGCTGGCTTTGGCCTAGAAAGCCCTAAACGGCCCTGGCCCAAATTACTTGTCCGAACGCATCTCCCCCTATGAACCATCGCGGAGATTAAGATCCTCCAGGGAGGCCCTGCTTTCCGTCCCGCCATTCTCACAGGGATGAGAGACAGGGCCTTCTCGGTGATTGCTCCCCAGCGATGGAACTCCCTTCCTGGTGAGATTAGGTCGGCCCCCTCCCTCCTGTCCTTTAGAAGGATGGTCAAAACTTGGCTGTGGGACGAAGCTTTCGGGACAATAGGAAAGATGACCAGGCAATTGGATTTGACACAGATGGCTAGGACGGTTTTAAATGGTTGGTGGGATTAACATAACTCAAAAACCACTGGACGAATGGACACCAAATTTGGACACAAGACACCTCTCAGGCCAACGAGTGACCATCACTCATCAAAACACTGAAAAACACAGTGGAAGAGACTTTAAAAGCCGAAAAATAAAAATTACAAGACAATGCATGCACAAAACCACAAATATACACAAACACACATACACAAATATATATACACACATATATGCATATATACACACGCAAAACACAGAAAGGGGGAAGGAAGGAAGGAAGGAAGGAAGGAAGGAAGGAAGGAAGGAAGAAAGGAAGGAAGGAGAGAAAGGGCGAAGGAAGGAGAGAAGGAAAAAAAAAAAGAAAGAGGAAGGAAAGAGGGAAGGAAGGATGGAACCAAAGAGCAAACAGAGGGAGGAAAGAAACTGGTAGAGAAGGAAGAAAGAAAAGGAAAAGAAAAAGAGGGAAGGAAGGAAAGAGAGGGAGAAGGAAATAAAAAAAGTGAAAGAAGGAAAGAAAGAGAGAGGGAAGGAAGAAGGAAGAAAAGAGAGAAAGAGGGAGGGAAGGAAGGAAGGAAGGAAAGAGAGAAGGAAGGATGGAACCAAAGAGCAAAGAGAGGAGGAAAGAAACTGGTAGAGAAGGAAGGAAGAAAAAGGGAAAGAAGGAAAAGAAAAAGAGGGAAAGAAGGAAGGAAAGAGGAAAAGAAGGAGAGAAGGAAGAAAAGAGAGAAAGAGGGAGGGAAGGATGGGAGGAAAGAGAGAAGGAAGGATGGAACCAAAGAGCAAAGAGAGGAGGAAAGAAACTGGTAGAGAAGGAAGAAAGAAAAGGAAAAGAAAAAGAGGGAAGGAAGGAAAGAGAGAGAGAAGGAAATAAAAAAAGTGAAAGAAGGAAAGAAAGAGAGAGGGAAGGAAGAAGGGAGAAAAGAGAGAAAGAGGGAGGGAAGGAAGGAAGGAAGTAAGGAAGGAAGGAAGGAAGGAAGGAAGGAAAGAGAGAAGGAAGGATGGAACCAAAGAGCAAAGAGAGGAGGAAAGAAACTGGTAGAGAAGGAAGGAAGAAAAAGGGAAAGAAGGAAAAGAAAAAGAGGGAAAGAAGGAAGGAAAGAGGAAAAGAAGGAGAGAAGGAAGAAAAGAGAGAAAGAGGGAGGGAAGGATGGAAGGAAAGAGAGAAGGAAGGATGGAACCAAAGAGCAAAGGAAGGGAGGAAAGAAACTGGTAGAGAAGGAAGGAAGAAAAGGGGAAAGAAGGAAAAGAAAAAGAGGGAAAGAAGGAAGGAAAGAGGAAAAGAAGGAGAGAAGGAAGAAAAGAGAGAAAGAGGGAGGGAGGGAGGGAAGGAAGGATGAAACCAAAGAGCAAAGGAAGGGAGGAAAGAAACTGGTAGAGAAGGAAGGAAGAAAAAGGGAAAGAAGGAAAAGAAAAAGAGGGAAAGAAGGAAAGAGGGAGGGAAGGAATGAGAGAATGAAATTAAAAAAGTGAAAGAAGGAAGGAAAGAGAGAGAGAAGGAAGGAGAGAAGGAAGAAAAGAAAGAGGGAGGGAGGGAAGGATGGAAGGAAAGAGAGAAGGATGGAACCAAAGAGCAAAGGAAGGGAGGAAAGAAACTGGTAGAGAAGGAAGGAAGAAAAAGGGAAAGAAGGAAAAGAAAAAGAGGGAAAGAAGGAAGGAAAGAGGAAAAGAGAGAAAGAAATAAAAAATGAAAGGAGGGAAAGAGAGAGGGAAGGAAGGAGAGAAGGAATGAAAGAGAGAAAGAGGGAGGGAAGGAAGGAAGGAAAGAGAGAAGGAAGGATGGAACCAAAGAGCAAAGGAAGGGAGGAAAGAAACTGGTAGAGGAGGAAGAAAGAAAAGGAAAAGAAAAAGAGGGAAGGAAGGAAAGAGGGTGGGAAGGAAGGAGAGAAGGAAGAAAAGAGAGAAAGAGGGAGGGAGGGAGAAAAGGAAGGAAGGAAAGAGAGAGAGAAGGAAATAAAAAAAGTGAAAGAAGGAAAGAAAGAGAGAGGGAAGAAAAGAGGGAGGGAGGGAAGGAGAGAGGGAAATAAAAAAGTGAAAGAAGGAAGGAAAGAGAGAAAGAAAGAGGGAAGGAGAGAAGGAAATAAAAAAGTGAAAGAAGGAAGGAAAGAGGCAAGGAAGGAAAGAGGGAGGGAAGGAAGGAGAGAAGGAAATAAAAAAATGAAAGGAAGGAAAGAGAGAGAGAAGGAAGGAAGGAGAGAGGGAAGGAAGGAGAGAAGGAAGAAAAGAGAGAAAGAGGGAGGGAGGGAAGGAAGGATGAAACCAAAGAGCAAAGGAAGGGAGGAAAGAAACTGGTAGAGAAGGAAGAAAGAAAAAGGGAAAGAAAAGGAGAAGAAAAAGAGGGAAGGAAAGAGGGAGGGAAGGAAGGGGGAAGGAAATATCTGAGTGACCATCGCTCATAAAAACACTGAGAAACATAGTGGAAGAGAGTTTAAAAGCCAAAAAACAAAAATTAAAATACAACACATGCGCAAAACCACAAATATGCACATATATATACACACAAAACACATATACACGGACTGGGCCACAGCAACGCGTGGCAGGAGATGGCTAGTTTGATATAAAGGCGATGGTCTATGGTGCGGACTTTACCTGCTTGTTGTAATGCATGATGCCCAAGGTTGGGAAGACCCAGGTACTGGCGGGAGGCACAATATCGCTGTCGGCAAAGCTCACCCACTGGAGGACCTGGGCGGCCGCCTCTTTGGTGGCTCCTCGCAGCTCTTCGTTGCTGACTGAAGGAATGAAGGAGACTGTCACCACAATAGGCCTTGCTTGGATTCCTGAGCTGAATTCCCACAAACTATAAATCCCTCTTTATGGAGGTAATGACAAAACACATGGGGGACAGCATTACCGTAGTGTGCAATGGCGTTGCTCTCAAACACGCAGAACCCATCGTCCCCTTCAAAAGCTGGGACCTACAAAGAAAGAGCTGTCGTAAGCTGCCAAAGGGATGTAAACAATGACCGCTAAGTCTCTCAAGAATACGCTTCCCAGTCTGACAGGTCCCAGCTCCATCCCAGAGACCCACCTTCCCAACTGGGAATTTCTTCAGGAACTCGGGGGTCTTGTTGGTCTGCCCAAAGTGGAACTGGGGCGGGCTGGAGAGGACCTTGATCTTGGCGCCGCTGTACTGGGCCGCAATGAGGACCTTGAAAGCCCGCCAGTTTTCGGGGTAAGTGTAGAGAGTCTGCGGAAGAATATTATTATTATTATTATTATTATTATTACTATTATTATTTTACTGGCACCAAACCACAGTCTGTCACAGCAAACGAGATCTATATGCTGGATTTCCTATCACAAAATCACAAGTCAAACACTTCCCAAGAGTCTAGGAATGTGTGATGTATACATATTTATTATTATTATTATTATTATTATTATTATTATTATTATTATTATTATACCCCACTTATTCTCTTCACAAACAAGACCCAAAGAGGTTATGTATCTATTATTAGTATTATCATTTATTATTATTATTATTATTATTATTATTATTATTATTATATGTTTATACCCTGCTTATTCTCACCACAAACAAGACCCAAATTGGCTACGCATCTATTATTAGTTTTAGTATGCATTATTATTACTATTATGTTTATACTCTGCTTATTCTCTCCACAAAGAAGACCCAGAGGCTATATATATCTATTATTATTATGTTTATATCTATTACTAGTATTAATATCTATTATAATAATTATTATTATGTTTATACTCTGCTTATTTTCTCCACAAAGTGGTTATGTATCTATTATTAGTATTAGCATGTATTATTATTATTATTATTATTATTATGTTTATACCCCACTTATTCTCTCCGCAAACAAGACCCAAAGTGGCTATGTATATATTATTAGTATTAGCATGTATTATTATAATGTTTATTTATATCCCGTTTTCTCTCTCTACGTATCTCTTATTAGTATTAGCATATATTATGATGTTTAAACCCTGCTTATTCTCTCCACAAACAAGACCCAAAGTGGCTATGTATCTATTATTATTACTAATTATTATTGTTATTGTTGTTTATACTCTTATTCTCTCCACAAGCAAGACCCAAGGTGCCTATGTATCTATTACTAGTATTAATAATAATAATAATAATAATAATAATAATGTTTATACTCTGCTTATTCTCTCCACAAACAAGACCCAAAATGCCTATGTATCTATTATTATTATTATTATGTTTATATCTATTATTAGTATTGGTATGTATGTATGTATTATTATTATCCCCTGCTTATTCTCTCCATAAACAAGATCCAAAGTGCCTATGTATCTCTTATTAGTATTAGCATGTCTTATTATTATGTTTATATCCTGCTTATTCTCCACAAAAAAGACTCAGTGGTTATGTATCTATTATTATGGTTATATCTATTAATAGTATTAGTATATATTATTAATATGCCCTGCTTATTCTCTCCACAAACAAGATCCAAAGTGCCTATGTATCTATTATTAGTATTGGCATGTATTATTATTATTTTTTATTATGTTTATATCCTGCTTATTCTCTCCACAAGCAAGACCCAAAGTGCCTATGTATCTATTATTATTACTATTACTATACTCTGCTTATTTTCTCCACAAACAAGACCCAAAGTGCCTATGTATCTATTATTAGTATTGGCATGTATTATTATTTTTTTATTCTTATGTTTATAATCTGCTTATTCTCTCCACAAACAAAACCCAAAGTGCCTAAGTATCTATTATTATTATTACTATTACTATTATTATACTCTGCTTATTATTCTGTCCACAAACAAGACCCAAAGTGCCTATGTATCTATTATTATTATTACTATTACTATTATTATACTCTGCTTATTATTCTGTCCACAAACAAGACCCAAAGTGCCTATGTATCTATTATTATTACTATTACTATTATTATACTCTGCTTATTATTCTGTCCACAAACAAGACCCAAAGTGCCTATGTATCTATTATTATTACTATTACTATTATTATACTCTGCTTATTATTCTGTCCACAAACAAGACCCAAAGTGCCTATGTATCTATTATTATTACTATTACTATTATTATACTCTGCTTATTATTCTGTCCACAAACAAGACCCAAAGTGCCTATGTATCTATTATTATTACTATTACTATTATTATACTCTGCTTATTATTCTGTCCACAAACAAAACCCAAAGTGCCTATGTATCTATTATTATTATTACTATTACTATTATTATACTCTGCTTATTATTCTGTCCACAAACAAGAACCCAAAGTGCCTATGTATCTATTATTATTACTATTACTATTATTATACTCTGCTTATTATTCTGTCCACAAACAAGACCCAAAGTGCCTATGTATCTATTATTATTATTATTACTATTATTATACTCTGCTTATTATTCTGTCCACAAACAAGACCCAAAGTGCCTATGTATCTATTATTATTACTATTACTATTATTATATTCTGCTTATTATTCTGTCCACAAACAAGACCCAAAGTGCCTATGTATCTATTATTATTACTATTACTATTATTATACTCTGCTTATTATTCTGTCCACAAACAAGACCCAAAGTGCCTATGTATCTATTATTATTACTATTACTATTATTATACTCTGCTTATTATTCTGTCCCCAAACAAAACCCAAAGTGCCTATGTATCTATTATTATTACTATTACTATTATTATACTCTGCTTATTATTCTGTCCACAAACAAAACCCAAAGTGCCTATGTATCTATTATTATTACTATTACTATTATTATACTCTGCTTATTATTCTGTCCACAAACAAGACCCAAAGTGCCTATGTATCTATTATTATTACTATTACTATTATTATACTCTGCTTATTATTCTGTCCACAAACAAGACCCAAAGTGCCTATGTATCTATTATTATTACTATTACTATTATTATACTCTGCTTATTATTCTGTCCACAAACAAGACCCAAAGTGCCTATGTATCTATTATTATTACTATTACTATTATTATACTCTGCTTATTATTCTGTCCACAAACAAGACCCAAAGTGCCTATGTATCTATTATTATTACTATTACTATTATTATACTCTGCTTATTATTCTGTCCACAAACAAGACCCAAAGTGCCTATGTATCTATTATTATTACTATTACTATTATTATACTCTGCTTATTATTCTGTCCCCAAACAAAACCCAAAGTGCCTATGTATCTATTATTATTACTATTACTATTATTATACTCTGCTTATTATTCTGTCCCCAAACAAAACCCAAAGTGCCTATGTATCTATTATTATTACTATTACTATTATTATACTCTGCTTATTATTCTGTCCACAAACAAAACCCAAAGTGCCTATGTATCTATTATTATTATTACTATTACTATTATTATATTCTGCTTATTATTCTGTCCACAAACAAGACCCAAAGTGCCTATGTATCTATTATTATTACTATTACTATTATTATATTCTGCTTATTATTCTGTCCACAAACAAGACCCAAAGTGCCTATGTATCTATTATTATTACTATTACTATTATTATACTCTGCTTATTATTCTGTCCACAAACAAGACCCAAAGTGCCTATGTATCTATTATTATTACTATTACTATTATTATACTCTGCTTATTATTCTGTCCCCAAACAAAACCCAAAGTGCCTATGTATCTATTATTATTACTATTACTATTATTATACTCTGCTTATTATTCTGTCCACAAACAAAACCCAAAGTGCCTATGTATCTATTATTATTATTACTATTACTATTATTATACTCTGCTTATTATTCTGTCCACAAACAAGACCCAAAGTGCCTATGTATCTATTATTATTACTATTACTATTATTATACTCTGCTTATTATTCTGTCCACAAACAAGACCCAAAGTGCCTATGTATCTATTATTATTACTATTACTATTATTATACTCTGCTTATTATTCTGTCCACAAACAAGACCCAAAGTGCCTATGTATCTATTATTATTACTATTACTATTATTATACTCTGCTTATTATTCTGTCCACAAACAAGACCCAAAGTGCCTATGTATCTATTATTATTACTATTACTATTATTATACTCTGCTTATTATTCTGTCCACAAACAAGACCCAAAGTGCCTATGTATCTATTATTATTACTATTACTATTATTATACTCTGCTTATTTTCTCCACAAACAAGACCCAAAGTGCCTATGTATCTATTATGTGTGTAAGAAGAATGTGTGTAAGAATGAAGTAATTATATGAAAGAATATATTATTATTATTATTTTGTTGTTATTATTATTATTGTTTATTACGTGTAAGAAGAATGAAGTAATTATATGAATGAAGAATATATTATTATTATTGTTACTATTATTATTATTGTTTATTATGTGTGTAAGAAGAATGAAGTAATTATAATAATAATTATTATTATTATCTATTATGTGTGTAAGAAGAATGAAGTAATTATATGAATGTTATGTTATTATTATTATTATTATTATTATTATTGTTGTTGTTGTTTATACTATGCTTATTTTTTCCACAAACAAGACCCAAAGTGCCTATGTATCTATTATTAGTACTGTTATTATTACGTTGATACTCTGCTTATTCTCTCCACAAAGTGCCTATGTATCTATTATTAGTATTAGTATTTTATTAGGGATGAGGGGAAGGACAAGAAAGACATGAGAAGGAGCAGAGGAACAGGGTGATGGGCAATGTAGTCCCACAATGGCTAGCAATACAAAGTATTAGACAGCAAAGGAACAGGATGATGGGCAATGTAGTCCCACAATGGCTAGCAATACAAAGTATTAGACAGCAAAGGAACAGGATGATGGGCAATGTAGTCCCACAATGGCTAGCAATACAAAGTATTAGACAGCAAAGGAACAGGATGATGGGCAATGTAGTCCCACAATGGCTAGCAATACAAAGTATTAGACAGCAAAGGAACAGGATGATGGGCAATGTAGTCCCACAATGGCTAGCAATACAAAGTATTAGACAGCAAAGGAACAGGATGATGGGCAATGTAGTCCCACAATGGCTAGCAATACAAAGTATTAGAACAGGCCAAAGAACAGCCTGCAAGCTCGGGCCCTCTGAGTGTTTGGGACTACAACTCCCATCATTCCTCACAGCCTCAGGCCCTTTCCTTTCCCCCTGGGCCCTCCTGGTGTTTGGGACCACAACTCCCATCATTCCTCACAGCCTCAGGCCCTTTCCTTTCCCCCTGGGCCCTCCTGGTGTTTGGGACCACAACTCCCATCATTCCTCACAGCCTCAGGCCCTTTCCTTTCCCCCTGGGCCCTCCTGGTGTTTGGGACCACAACTCCCATCATTCCTCACAGCCTCAGGCCCTTTCCTTTCCCCCTGGGCCCTCCTGGTGTTTGGGACCACAACTCCCATCATTCCTCACAGCCTCAGGCCCTTTCCTTTCCCCCTGGGCCCTCCTGGTGTTTGGGACCACAACTCCCATCATTCCTCACAGCCTCAGGCCCTTTCCTTTCCCCCTGGGCCCTCCTGGTGTTTGGGACCACAACTCCCATCATTCCTCACAGCCTCAGGCCCTTTCCTTTCCCCCTGGGCCCTCCTGGTGTTTGGGACCACAACTCCCATCATTCCTCACAGCCTCAGGCCCTTTCCTTTCCCCCTGGGCCCTCAAGCGTCTGAGGGGAAAAAGGAAAGGGCCTGAGGCTGTGAGGAATGATGGGAGTTGTAGTCCCAAACACCAGGAGGGCCCAAGCTTGGCCCAGGCCTGCTTCTAGACTCCCTCCACTCCACTGAGGCCTAAGAAGCCACTTCGACGTGGATAGAGTGACCCGACACTCCCCCCTGGAGGCCCTTCCCGGCCCCATTTCTCGCCCCCCGTCCGCCTCTCCGCCCCAATCCGGGCCCCAAAACCTCCTCCGGGGTCCCTTCTCCCCACTCGCCCCGCTCTGGGGCCCCTCCGTGGCTCCCTGGCCCCGATGGAAGCGGATGGAGGCCGGCTCCCCCTCCGGAAAGCGAGCTCACCCCGGCCGCCGCCATCTTCGCGAGGAGAGGAAAAGGAGGAGCGTCGCGCGGCGCGGCCGTAAAGCGCAGCAGTGCGACATTCCCCGCCGGCCTCTTCTGTGACGTCACCAGAGAGAGAGAGGGGAGGGGCTCAGAAATTCTTACCCAGAAATGCCCAAGGAAACATAGAGCTAGCCAAATAATAGTAGACAACCATCACCCTCAATCGGAGAGGGAGTTTCCGGGTTGCTCAGAAATCCTTTCACAGAAATGCCCAAGGAAACATAGAGCTAGCCAAAAAATAGTAGACAACCATCACCCTCAATCGGAGAGAGAGTTTCCGGGTTGCTCGGAAATTCTTACCCAGAAATGCCCAAGGAAACATAGAGCTAGCCAAAAAATAGTAGACAACCATCACCCTCAATCGGAGAGAGAGTTTCCGGGTTGCTCAGAAATTCTTACCCAGAAATGCCCAAGGAAACATAGAGCTAGCCAAAAAATAGTAGACAACCATCACCCTCAATCGGAGAGAGAGTTTCCGGGTTGCTCAGAAATTCTTACCCAGAAATGCCCAAGGAAACATAGAGCTAGCCAAAAAAATAGTAGACAACCATCACCCTCAATCGGAGAGAGAGTTTCCGGGTTGCTCAGAAATTCTTACCCAGAAATGCCCAAGGAAACATAGAGCTAGCCAAAAAAATAGTAGACAACCATCACCCTCAATCGGAGAGAGAGTTTCCGGGTTGCTCGGAAATTCTTACCCAGAAATGCCCAAGGAAACATAGAGCTAGCCAAAAAATAGTAGACAACCATCACCCTCAATCGGAGAGAGAGTTTCCGGGTTGCTCAGAAATTCTTACCCAGAAATGCCCAAGGAAACATAGAGCTAGCCAAAAAATAGTAGACAACCATCACCCTCAATCGGAGAGAGAGTTTCCGGGTTGCTCGGAAATTCTTACCCAGAAATGCCCAAGGAAACATAGAGCTAGCCAAAAAAATAGTAGACAACCATCACCCTCAATCGGAGAGGGAGTTTCCGGGTTGCTCAGAAATCCTTTCCCAGAAATGCCCAAGGAAACATAGAGCTAGCCAAAAAAAGTAGACAACCATCACCCTCAATCGGAGCGGGAGTTTCCGGGTTGCTCGGAAATTCTTACCCAGAAATGCCCAAGGAAACATAGAGCTAGCCAAAAAATAGTAGACAACCATCACCCTCAATCGGAGAGAGAGTTTCCGGGTTGCTCGGAAATTCTTACCCAGAAATGCCCAAGGAAACATAGAGCTAGCCAAAAAAATAGTAGACAACCATCACCCTCAATCGGAGAGAGAGTTTCCGGGTTGCTCGGAAATTCTTACCCAGAAATGCCCAAGGAAACATAGAGCTAGCCAAAAAATAGTAGACAACCATCACCCTCAATCGGAGAGAGAGTTTCCGGGTTGCTCGGAAATTCTTACCCAGAAATGCCCAAGGAAACATAGAGCTAGCCAAAAAATAGTAGACAACCATCACCCTCAATCGGAGAGAGAGTTTCCGGGTTGCTCGGAAATTCTTACCCAGAAATGCCCAAGGAAACATAGAGCTAGCCAAAAAATAGTAGACAACCATCACCCTCAATCGGAGAGAGAGTTTCCGGGTTGCTCGGAAATTCTTACCCAGAAATGCCCAAGGAAACATAGAGCTAGCCAAAAAATAGTAGACAACCATCACCCTCAATCGAATTTAGTTTTCTCCTACATTTACTAAATTAATTAAACATATATCTATCCAAAAAAAGTATACAACTCACCTCACTTAGATTAGGTTTCCTTTTCAGAAATTCACATAACATGCCAAGGAAAATAGTATATCAAATAATATATCAACCATCACAATCTTA